ATAAGTGCTTGTATGCCCCCCCCCAAATCGACGAAAGTTATATCATAAGAAGACGCAGGCTTGACCCTGCATGTCAGGGCTAACCCCAGGCTGAGAGGGATAAAATATTCCAGAGACCGACCGAGACACTCGATCTCTCGACTCGGGATTCAAACTCAGGTCTCCTGCAAGCGATGGCAAAGTGCGTAACCGCTACACCACATACGCCGACCTGTCCTGGTCTTATCAATGGCAACTATAAAAATGATCAGTTCGTGGCATCGGTAGTCCAGTGGTTAGACTACCGGACTCGTAATCGTGAGACTGCGGATTGGGGGACTCTGAGGCTCAGCTCGGCACGAAGTTGTCTCCTATTGATGTAATGTACGGCTAAAACAGCACCTGGACATGGAAGGCTGGTGCCTCTATAAATACATCATTGATGGTCTGATGTAATGTACAGGGTGATTCAAAACGAATACGCCAAACTCATCATTCGGTGTTTCAAAAACGAGCAACAAACAGAAAGACACATGTTTTGTACACAACTTTACGTTTTTGTTTCATTTATAACAAGTTGACGTCACCAGCAGTACGGACAGCTTCAAGCCGATGTGCGAATTTTTTCCAAAGGCGCCTCAGGATGTCTGAGTCCACAGTGCTAATTGCAGTTGTTTTTCGATTTTTCATGCCATAGATATTGCTGGAAGTGGAGGAATATACACTTTGTCTTTAACACCCCCCCCCCTTCAAGAAAATAGCACATACAGTGAGGTCCGAGGATCTTTAAGTTAAAAATTTTTTTTTTTGGGAAAGTGTTTTACGGCGCTCGCAACTGCATAAGGTTATTTAAGCGCGCGGGACACATTACACTTTGTTAGTTGGTAAGACATTTTTTATTATGCCCGGGATGCGGCTGAAGCCTACTCTTATCGATTTTAGACCACCAAGGGATCTTTAACGTGCGCAATTTGCACACGGGCCCTCCGAGATTTATCTCCCTTGTCCGAGAAGACTAGGTGTAGATCTTCCTTCCAAGAAGATCAGGGGTGTGGCTTAAAGACAGCAGTAAGAAGGAGCCAAGGAGTAGCAGTAGAAAGGCTGCAGAAAGAGTCAGGAGCCCAGAGTAGGGGGCAAAAGAGGTTAGGGGGTGGGGGGAGAAAGAGGAGGCGAAAGCAGACGACAGAACATTGCTAGAGAACAGAAAAGGAGGTGAAAGGAAACAATTTAACAGAATTTTTTTTTCGGTCGCTACCCGGATTCGAACCCGGGACCTTTGAATGAGAGGCCAACATCTTAACTTCTCAACTTCTAGGCCACGAGAGCCCCCTTCCGAGGATCTGGCATGCCAAGCGCAGCGGTGGATTTAGCACATCTCCTACCAATCCACCGCTGAGTCACGTTTTCTTTCAGATAAGCTCAAACCCCGAGATGCCAATGAGGCGTTGCTCCATCTTGTTGAAAAATGAAGTCATTCGAATCTGCTTGCAGTAAAGTGAATAGCCGGTTCTGTGGGGGTATGTAATAGAGCTAGGCGAATGATCGATTCTGGAACCGATTCCCACAATTAATGGTACGGAAGAAAAGTTCCGACTCTTTTTTTACGTAAACCAACGGTTACCAGTTACTTTAATCATTAAAATTTTCTTTTTAAGAAAAAAAATACTGTTAAAAAAATTTGATGCTTTGTAGTGTTCCGAAATCAAGGTTATCCTATACCCTGAAGATGTTCGGAGCCAACCGGGTAACCACTGGAAGAAATCACATCATTAGAAAGTAAGTAATTGGGTTCGGAGTCGATTCCTACGATTCCTAGCTTTCAATAATCGGTAACCTAGCCGCCCGGCACTAGTATGTAAAAGACAAAGTTAGTTCCAGCACTTCCAGTAAACTATATTGATGACATGAAAGATCGAATAACAGGTACAATCAACACGGTGGGAGGAATTCTCATATAGGCTTGATGCTGTCCACGCTGCCGGTGGTGGCCACATTGAAAACTTAAACTTTCAAATCATGAAATAAAAACTTGAAGGTATGTACAACACATGGGTCTAAGCCAGAGTTTTCTATTGCTTCTCTTCTTTGAAATATTGCGTGAAGATATTGGCGTATTCTTTTTTAATCACCCTGTACGTTAAATTCGAAGGTCTTGCCTCATAAATGAGCTTACAGTGTTGCAAAGGGTATTGAACCTTCAACATTTCGCACCTTTATTTTTTATTCAATTCTTAATTCATAAATACACCCAACACTGAAATTGTGTTCAAAAGACCATCGTGGTTTGTTTTATTTCAGAGTCAAAAAAGGACAACATGGACGACTCAACAATTATAGCACAGATTGAGAAAAAAAAAAAAGAAAAAAGGACGCACGATAAGTTTACGTTAGAATAAGTTAATAATGAAGAAAATTTGTTGAGATTTACACATGGGTTGTTCTTTGCGGTTCTTCACTTACTTTAACGCTTTGTTCCCCTAG